AATTAGCATAATTCAGACTTGATATAATTTTCATTTTCCTAACCGATCCACTATCTCTTTTTCGAATTCTCAGGAAGCCTCGGCAAGGAGCACTAATCACTACTGAATTTGCAAGCACAATGGATCGCAGTGGAATGATTCGATTCAGCGCAATCTTCATTGTACTTGGACTACTGATGTTTTCATATCATTTTCTGGAAATATCAATAAGACCCTTCAGTGTACACACTAAGGTCAATATTTTTAACAGGAAAAAGTCAAAACTGGATTGTCAGACCTACGTAGTGGATAGCGGTCACATAGAATCAAAACGTCAAAAACTTCCCAACCTGGACAATATCGGTTGGCTGCAGAGGGAATTTCTACCTCTTCCACTGGGTGCGCCAAATATTAGCCAATTGCCTCTGGAACCCCAATTCAGCCGGAATCAGATGCGCACTATGTGGAAACTCTTCAGTACTTTCGTTACTGCTATGGAGGAGCTCGGTCTCAGTGACAGGTGGATGCTCTACAGTGGCACCCTGCTCGGCGCATTTCGACATCACGACATTATCCCCTGGGATGATGACATTGATGTTCTCGTGGACGTGGAGGTTAGACCAGCGCTAAGGGAAAAGATGCACACACTGAAACCCGAAATCCTGTTTTATGAAGGTTCAACAAGGGATAAGGTTTTCGCACCTTTAATTGAACCGAAAAATTCATCGAAGGATGAGGAGGGTAGTCGTAAACTGAGTCGGTTACCCTGGCCCTGGCCCTTCCTGGACGTCAGTTATTACGCTTCAAACGTGACGCACATTCGCGAACTTCATGGTGCCGGTTATGTGTATGACATTTATGCAAAATCTGATGTGTTTCCGCTGCTGCTCAGACCACTTAACAAGTTCTGGGTTCCGACGCCAAGAAACACATTTGCTATTCTGCTGCAAACGTTCCCCCAAGATGGCAACTGCTCCTCCTTGACCTATACTCATGTCTATGAGTACAAAATGAGGAGTCGTACCGTGCCGTGCAAAGAACTGGCGGACAGGTATGCATTCGTTGAACATACCCTCCTCGACGAAAATGTCCAGAATAAGAACGGTAGTCAGGATGAGTTGGATTGGGTCCGTGAGCGGCTGATACAAGGTGGCAAGATAATACATGAAATCCAGTTGGTTGCACCTCGGCGAGAATGCAATGTGGAGACTTACAGACTGCAGACAAAGTCTACTGCATAATCACTTACGAATTCTACAACAACTGCTACAGGGTGTTATTTGGTGCAATATTACGCTAGATAAACTTCCTTTTTTGACTATTTTCTTACCATCTGAACATGAAATATGTGTATACCAGCAGCTATTCTGACTTTTGCTTTGATTCATATCACGCTTTCGGTGGTTGGCCTGTATTGGTTAATGACAATATTATTTTAAATCCTTTTTGGACGGCTATATGAGTTAAGCATTTGCTCTCTAATTAACTTTGTGCATATTACTTTTGTGTGCCATTGAGTAAGCCACCGATTAACCTCGGTGTTGTTTAACGGTAAAACTATACAACAGGAGAACACTGAAGTGCCGTATTCAGACATATTAGTCATCGTCATCATATGCGCCATTTGTGCCGTTACTACGAAGCTCACCAACGACATCACATCCACGATTTAAGTAACGTTCTTGCTACATTGTAGATTGTTATTAAAATCATTAGGTCATAAG